CCCTCTCCCACTCCCCCTGCTTGTGTTCCCTCTCTCGCTGTGTCTCTCTCTGTCAAATAAATAAATAAAATCTTTAAAAAAAAAACAAAAAAAACCTAGTGTCCACCTGTATCTCTGCTCTTTTATCTTCCTACACTTTTTCTACTGTGCAACTCTCTTAAACTCAAGCTTATATTCATTACTAGTGTCTTATCTGCAAAGAGGGAGAAAGGAAATCAGAGTTGGGAGCTTTGGAATAGGGAAGTTGGGGGAATGCAATTGAGAGTTGACAATGGATGCACAAAAGGACAATCAGTGGAAATTGGACAGCATGAATTTGGACTGGAGATGGTCACCCTTGTTTCTTGACTGGCCACAATAATTCAAGCTGCTCAGAAGCAGAGAAAACAAAAATGAGAGGACATGGGCTGATGGCAGGCAAGTTAAACTCGATCATATCACTTCTCGGCTTACAATCCTTCAAAGGCTTCCCATTACTTAACATGACCTTCAGAAGCCTCAGTCATCTGGCACTGCGTATTTCTCTAGCCTCTTCTTGTACCATTCTCCCCTTGGCTTTCAAAGTCCCAACCCCCCTGGCCAATTCCTTCCATCCTAAAGGCTTTTGCACATACCATTCCTTTCATCTGTCACCTCCAATTCTTCCCATCCCCCACCCTTTGCTTCAGCTTAAAAATCACTTCCTCAGAGAAGCCTTTCCTGACCCCCAAATCCAATCAGGGCACTCTATCAAAATAGTCTTTTGACATATGCTTTATTTGTCTCTCGTTAGACCTATCACAGTTATGTTCATTTGTATGAATACCCTTTTCAGACATGGAAATAGCTCTGTGGAGGCAAGCACTTGGTCTACTTTGTTGACTGCTAAATTCCCAGCACCTAGCCTAGTGCCTATCACCAGCAGGAACAGCAGGAATATTCGTTCACTCATTCAATATATTTATTGAGTTTACTGAATGAGTGAATGAATGTTCAGAAGAGTTAGCTATGGGACTTTAGACAAGTTTTTTATTGTAATTACATCTCCATTTTCTCATCTGCTAAATGGGGCAATGATACTAATCTTTAACCTCAGGATTGCCGTGCAGATTAAAAGAGACAATGCCTGCCTACCATGGTGTCTGGCATTATTGTAGGGGCTAGGAAATGTTAGTTCTTATCATCATTAAAAATAAGCTCTATGAGCAACCAGAACTCTCATACAGCACTGGTAGGAATGCAAAAATGATACAGCCACTTTGAAAAAACAGTTTACCAGTTTCTTACAGAGTTTAACACAGATTTTCCATACAATCCAGCAATCCCACTTCTAGGTATTTACCCAAATAAAATGAAAACTTTTGTTCACACAAAACCTGCTCACAAATGTTTATATCAGCTTTATTCATCACTGCCCAAAACTGGAAACAACCCAAATGTTCTTTAAACAAGGAATGGATAAATAAATTGTGGTATAGCCACACAGAATGTCACTCAGGAAGAAGGAATGAACTACTGATACATGCACAACATGGATGAAAGGCAACAGCTTCATGCTAGGTGAAAGAAGCCAGACTCAAAAGGCGACATGTTATATCATTCCATTTATATGACGTTCTAAAAAAGCCAAACTGTAGGGACAGTAATCAGGTCAGTGGTTGCCAGGCAACGGGGTGGAGCAGGAGGGAATTTGTAGGAATGAACAGAACTGTCCTAGGACTTGATTGGGTGGTAGTGACATGACTATATGCATTTATCAAAACTCATGGCATTATAAGCTGAAAGGTCAATTTCATATGCCCTGATGTAAAAGATAAAGATCCAAAACAGGTGGATAAAATTACATTTTCCTTTTAAAAAAAGTATTATAAAAGTACTACAGGCTATTTGTAGACATTTTGGGAAAATGGACAAAAAGGGTACATTCCATCACCCACAGAACAGTACTATTTCTTTTCTATCATTTTTATCCGTGCAAAATACACATAAACTGGGACCACACTGTACATTTTTGCTTTCTCAAATGTACATTTTACTTTCTGGTATATATTAAGCACATTTTTCCATGTCATTAAGTAACTTTCAAAACCATGATTTTATAGTCAATACTATTCTATTGTATAGCCCACTTATATTTTTAAGCCTTCCCTTATTGTTAGAAATCGCTTCCATGTTTTTATTACAAACAACTTCGATAAAATTAAAAAAAGAAAAGCTGAGTGGGGCCAGGGACTCTTCCGTTCTGCAATTTCACAATGTTTAACTAGTAAAACAACTCTTCCTTGGCTGCCATCGCCTCATTGTTTTAAGTGTCTGGAGGAAAAGTGGTTCCACAGGGTAATCGGGCCTCTCTTTCCTTTGCGGTGCATAAGAGCTAGGCACCCTAATATTACCTGTATTACTAGCTTAAATTTGCATAGCGCTCTCTATCCTTGCAGCTTATGCAGGGCAGATGGAGTGATTTGCTCAAGAGCCCACAGCTTATCTATCAATCTTGGAATGGGACTTCGACTCCAGATATTGAGTCTCAGAAAGTAAACATTCCCCAGCGGCGGAGCACTGTCTAATCTGGCTCTGCACGCCCATCAATGCCTCCCGCCCCAAGGAGAAGCTGCAGACACCCCCAGAAAACTCTGCCTCGAGGCTTGGCACATGGGGAACTTAACTGTCAAGTGGACGCTGTCCCTCCGACCAACTGTCCTTGGCAACATCGCCACTTACCAGCTGGGGTCATTTCTCCCCCCGGTGGCAGGGGGACACCTACTGCCACTGACCAAGGGGGCCCTGGGAGCTGTAGGATCGCCGGCTTCGCGGCCTGTGAGGGTTGTTGTCGGTCGGTCGCGATGTCGGGGCTTACCCTCACTTGGGGGTCCTGCCAGGGCGGCCAGGCCCTCCCCAACACCGGGGCCTTCAGTGGGGGGCGCGCCCTCGGCGAGGTGAAGCGGGACCCCATCATGTTAAGGAGAGCTGAGGGCAGGCAGGAGCCGCCGGACCACAGGGCTGCCCCGGGAGACTCCCGGAACGTGACCGGAATGCCTCCTCGGGGCGACCAGAGGTCAGTCCTCCGCTATCCCAGAGTGCCCCGGATCCCGGAAGTGCCCGGCTTTCCGGAAGTGCCCGGCTGGCTGACGGAGAAGGGGTTTGCCTGAACGCGGCAAGGAGAGGGTTGTGGTTCTGGAGCTTGGGTGACGGCTGGAGGAGCGACTCGGGGTTGAGGTGGGCTTCAGGAGAGAGCTGGGCGGCGGGATGATGGAAGAGGAGGAACTGGAGTTCGTAGAGGAGCTGGAAGCCGTGCTGCAGCTCACGCCTGACGTGCAGCTCGCCATCGAGCAGGTGAGCGTTCCGCCCCCTGAGGGGAGGAGAGCGGAGGATGGGGAAGTCTGGGGGTGGGACCGGGAGGAAGCGCTTTTTGGACCGAGAGGTGGGAACTAGGAGCTGAAGGGAAAGGAAAGGTTTGGGGGGGAGGTGGTGGTGGGAAGGGGTTTCTGAATCTAAGGGAGGGAGAGAGCCCTTTCTAGGCCTTGATTGTCTTTGGAGGGTAAGGCGTCCTGGTGGGTTTGGGCAAAGGAACCGTGAAAGCCCCTTGAAAGCATGAACCTGGAAGAAGGGAGTTCACGGACACCAACCTCAGATTTGGGGGTTTATTTACCAGGCTGGTGTGCCGCTGCTCCCGATTCTCAATCTAGTCCTTTGTGAGGGATTCGGAATTGAGAGGAGGAGCAACTTTAATACCTGAAGCGGGTCGCTGAGCAGAGGGGACAAGGTTGAAAAAGGACCCCTTTACTATACTTAAATGGTTGAGAATTCCTGCTATTGATTAGTTTGGATTAGATTGAAGAATATTCCCCGGAGGCCTTCTTCCCTTCAAGGACTCCTTGGTTGACTAAATTCTCTTTTCAAGTTTATTGAGTTTTGAAGAGTAATGATATTAGAAATAGTCATTTAGACCCTTGTGCAGGGTATTGCTCTTGATAAAGGGAGAGGATTTCCCTTAAAGGAATTGGTGGAGGGGATAAGATTGAAGAAAGGAGGGTTATGCCACATTTAGGGACCACCGGGAAGTTTTTTGAAGTAAAGCCTTGCTACTGTTACTGCTAATAGTTAATATTTATTGAGCATTAACACTCTAGGTCTGTTATTGTACTAATTTATTTGTATTGTGCCATTTATAGATTTTTGGATGTGTGTTTTTCTACCAGTGGTTGGATTACCCATACAAAGCACATTTGGTACATCCTGAGGATGCCAGACCGTTGGGCAAAGGTTTAGTTGTTCAGGCCACAGCTCCCCACCCACCTGCATCGGACAGAAGAAGACATGCATTTCATTTTCTCTTTGGACCTAGTGTGCTCTAATAGAAGAAACAAACAATGCAGTCAGTTACCGTTTGGCAAGGATTTTAGAAGAGCACATTTTTGCTATTTCTTAATAAGACAGTTCTAGCATAAGTTTATGTAATAAGCAGACATAAGAAAAGAATTGGCTTTCAGAATGACTATTTTGAGCTGGAAAAATTCAGTGCTCGGGATCACGTGACTGCCTTTTTTTTTTTTTTAAAAGATTTATTTATTTATTTATTTGTCAGAGAGAGAGAGAGAGAGCACAAGCAGGGGGAGCGGCAGGCAGAGGGAGAGGCAGGCTCCCAGGAGCCTTGGGATCATGACCTGAGCCGAAAGCAGACGCCTAACTGCCTGAGCCACCCAGGCATCCCTCGACTGCTTTTATAATCTACCTTGTTATATATTTTTCAAGTTGTAGCTTTTGAAGGGAGTTATTTTTCAGAAGGCATTATTCTTTCTTCTATTAAAGAGATGGACAGTTCCCGAAGGCAAGCTCCATTTCCTGACACTGTCTGAAGCATAAAAATTGCTTTGATGCATAGTGAATTCTAATGCTGAGGCATCCCAGAGACGTAGTGCATAAATCTTTTATCAAGGCTTCTTTAGTACAGTCATGTCATCAGCTCGTTTAATCTGATAATGGACAATGCCGGTTTATTTTTCCTTGTCCATGGGATTTTGTTGATATCTGTGGAACTTGCCACTCTTGCACATTCTGTTAGTTGCATCAAGATGTTAAAATTACAGGGGCGCCTGGGTGGCTCAGTCGTTAAGCGTCTGCCTTCGGCTCGGGTCATGATCCCGGGGTCCTGGGATCGAGCCCCACGTCCGGCTCTCCGCTCCGCGGGAAGCCTGCTTCTCCCTCTCCCACTCCCCCTGCTTGTGTTCCCTCTCTCGCTGTGTCTCTGTCAAATAAATAAATAAATAAATAAAATTACAGATGTTGGTGAAAATTAAAGATTTACTTTAACATATTTTACTGAGCAATTGTTGTGTGTTAGGCCTTATAAGGTGAAAAAAGATACGTTTTTTGCCTTCAAAGAATTTACCATCCAGTAGGAAGGAAAGAAATAACACATAAGGGGCGCCTAGGTGGCTCAGTTGATTAAGCGACTGCCTTCGGCTCAGGTCATGATCCTGGAGTCCCTGGATCGAGTCCCGCATCAGGCTCCCTGCTCGGCAGGGAGCCTGCTTCTTCCTCTGACCCTACCCCATCTCATGTGCTTTCTCTCATTCTCTCTCTCTCAAATAAATAAATAAAATCTTTAAAAAAAAAAAAAAAGAAATAACACATAAAACAAGACAGAAAGATGACAGTTATTTTTAATCCCCTGTCTTTGTTTAGGTGTTTCCAAGCCAGGATCCTCTAGATCGAGCAGATTTCAATGCTGTGGAGTATATCAATACTCTGTTCCCAACAGAACAAGTGAGTATAGAGTTTCCTTCATTTCAGTGGTTTCTGGCTCATCCTAAGTGTTATGATTGGTGTGTTATACTACACAATCTAAGGAGACTTGATAAAAAAGTGAGAGTTAAATTCAGATCAAACCCCATTGTAACCGATTGGGAGTGGGAGGTAGCTTATACCAAATACTGTTGTGTGAGAGTGAAATTCTTTGTATTGTGAGCATATTATTAGAAGTTATATCTTTAGCTTATAAGAGTCCCCCCACATTTTCCATAGTATATTAGGAAGTAGGAAGGATTTTTAAAACTAATAGGGAAGAGTGGGAGTGAAGTGGACAGGATAACCCTAGAATCATAACGCTACTTTCACTCCTATTTTCAGACTTTATTTTTTACTTTGTTGTGTTGGGTGATTTGCCTATACAGATGAGTTTTTCTTACAAAATTGGTTTTTGGGTGTGTAGGTGAGAAGTAGATCAGAATTAGGAACAGCAGAGCTTGGGGCACCTGGGTGGCTCAGTCGGTTAAGCCTTCAACTCTTGATCTCAGGGTCCTGAGTTCAAGCCCCACTTTGGGCTTGTGGAGCCTGCTTTAAAAAAAAAAAAAAAAAAAAGCAGAGTTGGGAGGTCAGCAAGAGTTCTGCTTGTTTTTTCATTTATGAATTCAGCAAATGATCAGTGGGCACCTGTCAGGTATTATTGGTCACGATGCTAGGCGCTGGAGACAGAAAGATGAATAACGCCCAGTCCATGCCCCCTTGAAGTGTACATGATCAAGGTTGGAGGGAGACACTGGTGAATCCTGGAAGAGAGGTATGCAATGGTTTAGTGAGGAATAGGGAACAGTTTTTCTTAAGAAAATCATAACCTCAGAGAGGAGGCAGCCCTTTTGCCAAATCTTAAAGGAGTCATTCCTTCACTTAGAGGCATTTATTAAGTGTCTACTAAGTGCCAGCACTGTTTAGAAACTGGAGAGAAATGGTAAACGTGATGGGCAAGTTCCTGTTCTCATGGAGTCTAGTGTAAGGAAGAAGACAATAAACAGATCAACAAATACATATAAAAGAAATTATCAAACGTGGTTGATGCTGTGGTAAAAAGCAGGCACAGCAATAGAACATGACAGCATGGGGCGCGGGGGGGGTGCTTTTTTAGATGGGTGGTCAGGGGAGGCCTCCGTGAGGTACTTACCTATAAACCGAGACTTGATACCTGTGAAGGGGCCAGGCTTGTGGCAGTCTGGCAGAACAGTGTTCAAGGCAGAGTGAACCACTAGGTGAATCTTCCAGGATGACAGGGAAAGAAGGTCATTCTAAGCACAGGGCAAAGGCTCAGAGGTGAGAAACAAAGTGCGCTCAGGGAGCATGGCTTCCTAGGAGATGGGGCTGAAGGGGTTGGCAGAGCAAGAGCCCTGAAGGGACTCTGTTCTCTGGGCTTGCAGACTCCAGTTTTGTGGATACCACACACCTTGCAGTGAAATGTCTTTCACTGGGCTAAATTTTAAGCTTGTATACCCTCAAAATATTATGCACATATCCTAGTACCGATCTTAAATAAATTGGGTTTTAGTAGTGTTTGTCATATATATAATAAAAATAGAGGTTTTAATGTTTTCTCTTCACACTCTAATGGGCATTATTGCAAACCCTTTGGGGATGTGCACACCCTGCACTGGAGACTGTGACTCTAGGCAGTGGGTGTTCATTCAGGGACTCTTGTCAGAATCATGACTGGATCAGATTCACATTTTAAAAATTCCACCCAGGGACGCCTGGGTGGCTCAGTCGGTTAAGCGACTGCCTTCAGCTCGGGTCATGATCCCAGGGTCCTGGGATCGAGTCCCGCATCGGGCTCCCTGCTCCGCGGGGAGCCTGCTTCTCCCTCTGCCTCTG